CCAGCTCTGCTGAGAGTTGAAGGCCGATGGCCTTCAGCTCCCAGAATCCCCCAGCCAGCTCTGCTGAGAGTTGAAGGCCGATGGCCTTCAGCTCCCAGAATCCCCCAGCCAGCTCTGCTGAGAGTTGAAGGCCGATGGCCTTCAGCTCCCAGAATCCCCCAGCCAACTCTCCTGGGAGTTGAAGGCTGAAGGACTTCAGCTCCCAGAATCCCCCAGCCAGCTCTGCTGAGAGTTGAAGGCCGATGGCCTTCAGCTCCCAGAATCCCCCAGCCAACTCTCCTGGGAGTTGAAGGCTGAAGGACTTCAGCTCCCAGAATCCTCCAGCCAGCTCTGCTGGGAGTTGAAGGCCTGTGGACTTGAACTCCCAGAATCCCCCAGCCAGCATAACTGGCTGGGGAATTCTGGGAGTTGAAGTCTACAGGTCTTCAAGTTGCCAAGATTGGGCACCCCTGATGTAGGCCAGTCTTTCTTAAGCTTGGCAACTTTCAGACGTGTGGACTTCAACTCCCAGAATCCCCCAGCCAGCATGATTCAGCAGCTCGTGGCCACTTTTATTGGAGTGGAACGAGTCGTTCTGCTTCTGGGGCGTGTTTCGAACCCTCCCCTTATTCCGGCAGCCCCTTTCCAAAGCCCTCATCTCCAGCCATACCTGATGGGGGTCGTCTGGATGATCTCCGAGACCTGCTGCATGTAATCGGTGGCTAAGAGCACCACCTCTTCCTCTTCTGAAAAACGCTCGTGGAATATCCTGTCCAGAAGAGGCTTCCATTTTAACTGCGGAAAGACGGCAAGCAGAGGCGGGTGACTTTCTGAAGCACTGCTTCTCTTAATTAGCCATTAATAATAAGAGACCAGAGAGCCCAAAGTCGCTGCTATCCTTGTAATGGGGCAGAGGGCAAAAAAGTCAAGATGGCAGTGCAATTGGAAATCCTGCAGGTAAAAATGGGAAGGATATTGATGACATGCTGGTGGCTGCCATCTTGCCTGTTTTTTTAACCCTTTAACCCTCTACTCTATTCTATTGTAATATTATTCTATTCTATTCTATTCTATTCTATTCTATTCTATTCTATTCTATTCTATTCTATTCTAGTCTAGTCTAGTCTAGTCTATTCTAGTCTATTCTAATATTATTCTATTCTATTCTATTCTATTCTATTCATTCCATTCCATTTCTTATTCTATTCTATTCCATTCCATTCCATTTCTTATTCTATTCTATTCTATTCTATTCTATTCTATTCTATTCTATTCTATTCTATTCTATTCTATTCTATTCTAATATTATTCTATTTTATTCTATTGTAATATTATTCTATTCTATTCTATTCTATTCTATTCTATTGTAATATTATTCTATTCTAGTCTAGTCTAGTCTATTCTAGTCTAGTCTAGTCTATTCTAGTCTAGTCTATTGTAATATTACTCTACTCTGCTCTGCTCTGTTCTAGTCTAGTCTAGTCTAGTCTGGTCTATTCAAAATAAGGTTATCAGTGGTGAACAAACCCCAGATTTGTGAATAGAATCCCAATGGCTTACAATTTGGTGGGTTGGTCAACAACTACACCTCTCCCCAGTGTTCCTCCTGCTTTTTGGCCTGTCCTGCCCCTTCCCTGGCCCCACACCCCAGCATCCAAACTTACGTTGGGTGTGATGCGCTGCAGTTCTCCCAGTGTGACTTTATTGTACATGGAGTTGATGTCTCTCCGCAGGTCATCGTATTCGGAGATAGTTACCTGTCAAATGGAGGAAAGTTGGAATTGGACCAGACCACCTCACTCAGCTAGGTCCAATCATCCCCTGCCCATCTGGGGAAGGCAGAGGGGGTGAGGTTTTTTTTTTCCAGTTCCTTGGGCCAGAACCTTCCCCCACCCCCTCGAAAAAATGAAAGAGTGTCAGACTTGTGTTCCTCCCACCTGGTAAAATTTCTAGAAAATGTATCTGGACATCAAAGCCAGTCATTTTCAATGACATAAAAAAAGAGGCTGAGACTCTGGAAAGAGTGCAGAGAAGAGCAACAAAGAGGATTAGGGGACTGGAGACTAAACATATGAGGAACGGTTGCTGGAATTGGGTATGTCTAGTTTAATAAAGAGAAGGACGAGGGGGGACATGATAGCTGTCTTCCAGTATCTCAGGGGCTGCCCCAAAGAAGAGGGAGTCAAGCTATTTTCCAAGGTGCCTGAAGGCAGGACAAGAAGCAACGGATGGAAACTAATCAAGAAGAGAAGCAGCCTAGAACTAAGGTGAAGTTTCATGACAGTGAGAACAATTAATCAGTGGAACTGCTTGCCACCAGAAATCGTGGGCGCTCCATCACTAATCAAGGAGAGAAGCAACCTAGAACTAAGGAGAAAAACTTCCTGATAGTTAGAACAATTAATGAGTGGAACAACCTGCCTCCAGAAGTTAAGGATGCTCCAACACTGGAAGTTTTTAAGAAGAGACTGCACAGCCATTTGTCTGAAATGGTATAGGATTTCCCGCCTGAGCAGGGGGTTGGACTAGATGACCTCCAAGCTCCCTTCCAACTCTGTTTTTCTGTTAACTTGGAGAGTTTAGTAGAGCTTAATCTGGGATGGGAACCCAGTTTACTAGGCTTGTGGATGGCTGCGGGGGATGTTCAAACCCTGAAAATGGGTTCGTTTGGTAGCCAGGTTAAATGTGTGGCATGGACGCCATCAAAGTATGAGCAGACGATCAGAGGACATTGGTACCTTTTGTCAGATATTTTTAGTCCCCCCCCCCTTTGAACTCAAAAGCACTGTCTGGCTCAGTGGTTCTCAACCTGTGGGTCGGGACCCCATTTGGAGTCGAACGACCCTTTCACGGGGGTCGCCAAACAACGCAGTCTGCCATTTTTTCCCCCTTTTCCTTAGCTGTGCTACTCCCTTTTATTCTATTGGCTTTTGAAAGCCAATAGAATAGCCTCTCTTGAATAGAGTCTAATTCTATTGGCTTTCAAAAGCCAATAGGAATTGTCCAGGCTGTCTCTGCCCTGCTGAACCCGCCAAAAGTCCCATTCTGCAAACGATGCTACACCAGTTGAGTAGTCCTCGACTTACGACCGGTTGAGTAGTCCTCGACTTACGACTGGTTGGGGGTCGTGGCATTAAAAAGGTTGAGAACTACTGGTCTGGCTGGAGCTGCCCCCCCTGGGCAACTTTCCCAGGGACCCCGAAGGACAGGATGGCGCACTCACGTTGGCCAGCCTCTGCTCCAGCTGGAGAATCTCCTTGGCTTTCTGTTCCACATGTTCGGCGCCCAGCAGGTGCAACAGGCGCTCCATGAATACCCCGTACGCAGCCAGGATCTGGAAAAGACAAGATTTTGGAACCCCCCCGAGAGATCTAGCCTGCACATCGGGTCCCTTGAGCAATCCCAACAGAGCAGGTGGCCAAGTTGTTTTGCCCAGCGGAAAGGCAATTCCTCAAGGATGCATTTGATCAAACTGATCGGCGACAGAAAACGTCTTTTCTTCGCTGATGGAGTCAAATGTCCTCGGAGGGCCTAATCCCTGCTCAAGGCCTGCTTGGCATCCCTCTCTCTCAGCCTTCCCGGACCCCCGCCTGCTCCCCTCACGATCTGTCCTGCAAAAAGAGCCGAGGTGGCGCAGCAGTTAGAGTGCAGTACTGCAGGCCACTTTAGCTGACTGTGTTCAGCAGGTCAGCGGTTCAAATCTCACCGGCTCAAGGTTGACTCAGCCTTCCATCCTTCTCGGGTAGGTAAAATGAGGACCCAGATTGTTGGGGGCAATGTAAATATATATATATATATACATTGCTTACTGGTGTACACCGCTTAGAGAGTGCTTGTACTTAAAGCGGTATATAAGTCTCATAAATAAATAAATAAATAAATAAACCCCCTGCTTAGGCAGGAAACCCTATACCATTTCGGACAAATGGCTGTCTCTTCTTAAAAGCCTTCTTAGGAAGGAAGGAAGAAGGAAGGAAAGAAGGAAAGAGGGAGAAAAAAGGAAGGAGGGAGGAAGGAAGGAAGGAAGGAAGGAAGGAAGGAAGGAAGGAAGGAAGGAAGGAAGGAAGGAAGGAAGGAAGGACAGAGTTGGAAGGGACTTTGGAGGTCATCTAGTCCAACCCTGAGCCGAGGTGGTGCAGCAGTTAGAGTGCAGTAGTGCAGGCCACTTTAGCTGGCTGTGTTCAGCAGGTCAGCGGTTCAAATCTCACCGGCTCAAGGTTGACTCAGCCTTCCATCCTTCCAGGGTAGGTAAAATGAGGACCCAGATTGTTGGGGGCAATGTAAATATATATATATATACATTGCTGACTGGTGTACACCGCTTAGAGAGTGCTTGCACTTAAAGCGGTATAGAAGTCTCATAAAATAAATAAATAAAAATCTGAATTTCCCACAATGCATCGGAGCACAGGAGCGTCGTTCCCGGGCATTGTGGGAAATGGATACGTCTGCTTCTAAAAGAAGCTCAGCCTTGCTTAGTACCCATGTTTCTCAGCCATCCCTCAGCTCATCTTCTGATTAGCTCAGTGGTCCTGCAAAAAAATATCTGAGTTTCCCCACAATGCATCAGTGTCGCTCTGGGCATTGTGGGAAAATGGACACGGCTGCTTTCTATAGGAAGCTCAGCTCTGCTCAGATCCTTCTTGGGACCCGTTTCCCTGGCCCCCATCGCCTCTCCTCATAATCTGTCCTGCAAAAAGTCTGAATTTCCCACAATGCACCGGAGCACAGTAGTGCCGCACCCAGGCATTGTGGGAAAATGGACACGGCTGCTTCGAAAGGAAGTTCAGCTTTGCAAAGGTGGCTTGGCATTGCCTCCCCCCCCCCAATTGTGGGGGGAGATGGGCAGCATAAAAATTTAAAAAATAAATGATTAAATTTGTTTACAAGGCCGCCTTTTCTTCAAAGCGATATTCAGGAGAGGGCATTCTATACACTGTATATCTGCTTACCTTTTCACTTTCGTCATCCTGGCCCAGGTAGAGTGTTCTCTCGGACAAGGTCAGCCCATCCTGGTCAATCTGTCAGGTGGAGAGAAAAAAACACACCAGGAGTTTAGCTGGAGTAGACGAAAAGGCACCTGTCTTTTTATTTGCCGCTGATCCATCAGTAACACCTCTTTGGCTGGGTTCACCCAGCAACCTAAGAGGCAAAACACTAATTTTGAAGATAATAATAATAATAAAGTTGGAAGGGACCTTGGAAGTCATCTAGTCCAACCCCCTGCTCAGGCAGGAAACCTATACTATTTCAGACAAATGGCTGTCCAGTCTCTTCTTAAAAACTTCCAGTGTTGGAGCATTCATCGCTTCTAGAGGCAGGTTGTTCCACTGGTTAATTGTTCTAACTGTCATGAAATTTCTCCTTAGTCCTAGGTTGCTTCTCTCCTTAATGAGCTTCCATCCATTGCTTCTTGTCCTGCCTTCAGGCGTTTGGAGAAGAGCTTGACTCCCTCTTCTTTGGGGCAGCTCTTGAGAGATTGGAAGGGTGCTATCATGTCCCCCCTCGTCCTTCTCTTCATTAAACTAGACATACCCAATTCCAGCAACCGTTCCTTATATGTTTTGGCCTCCAGTCCCCTGATCATCTTTGTTGCTCTTCTCTGCACTCTTTCTAGAGTCTCAGCATCTTTTTTACATCATGGTCTTCTAGTCCAACCCCCTGCTCAAGCAGGAGTGATGCAAATGGGTATGGAGCCTTCTTGGAACGGCTGAAAGGACTGTGTGGTAGACCGGAGACTGATGATGTCACCACTCAGGTGGCCCTGAGGACACAGGTAAATCTCCAAGTGGCCTCAACGATCCTCTGAAAGAAGGCAAATGACCAGCTGTCTGCAAGGAGTATAAATCCTTCCACTCCCCACCCTCCAGTCAGAGCTGAAGAAGCTTCCTTGCTTCTTTATATTCCTTGCAGATGGCTGGTCATTTGCATTCTTTCAGAGGGTCGTTGAAACCACCTGGAGGCCTATGTCAAAACTGAGCAGCCCTCTCTCAATAGAGGGAAGGGATATGACACCATCTATCTCCAGTCTACATCACAGTCCTTTCAGCAGTTCCAAAAGGGCCCCACACCCCTCTGCACCACTCAGGTGACCCTTAGGACACAGATAAGCCTCCAAGTGGCCTCAACGACTCTCTGAAAGAAGGCAAATGACCAGCCATCTGCAAGGAGTATAAATCCTTCCATTCCCCACCATCCAGTCAGAGCTGCTGGAATGAGAAGCGAAACATCTTCCAAGGAAAACAAGAAAGTCCAGTTGCTTCCTGAAAAAAAGCAGCTTTGGGATAACAATGACCTGGATGACCAAGAATCTCCCTAGACCAGTGGTTGCGAACCTATGGCACGGGTGCCAGAGGCGGCACTCAGAGCCCTCTCTGTGGGCACACGCACCGTCGCCCCAGTCCTAGGCCTTCAGCTGGGTTTTATAAAACCTTTTCAATATAGGCCTCCGATGCCGTGTGCAAAAAAAAAAAAAAGGTTCAATCAATCAGACAATTTCAACTTCTCACGGGAAAAAAAAGATCTTGCAAAGTTGGAATTGATTGATTGAACTTTTTAGTGCCACCCAGTCTGCCATTACCACCACAGCCACGCCCACCCAATGGGCCACACCCACCCAATGGGCCACGCCCACCCAGCACCCGACGATGTATAAGTGGGTTTTGGGTTGCAGTTTGGACACTCAGTCTCTAAAAGGTTTGCCATCACTGCCCTAGACGTGTATATTTCTAAACCTGCAATAGCCTTTATGTGCCGGGATATCACGCTGCTGATTCCGGAGGCCATCAGGTCAACAGGAATCAGATGGAAAGAGTTTATTTTTATTTTTTTATTTTTTTTTAGCCTTTCAAGATCTTTTCCATACATTATCTGCAACACCCAAATGGTGCGTGGAAGAACAAAGGGGCCCAGTGCGATTCGAGATATTTGAAACCCATCTTTTCATCCCTGGCCCATACTCTATTCTCCCCAGGGCCTTCTACGTGTAAATATTTTATCAAGTTAAAATCATCACACACACACCCTTGTTAATCAGTCCATTTAAGTAGTTTCCCAACGGATGGGGCTTGTCTCTCTTTTTTTAAAAAAAAATTGCATTCTGTGATTTGCAGCCCAGCAATCTTTCCTCCAGCAGTGAAACCATCATTTTGAGCATGGTTTATTAGTTTGGGCGAATTTGATGAGCCTTCCTCCATCTTTACATCCCTGTCATTCACCAAAGATGCAGAAAAGCATCCGAGCGCCCCCCCCCGTCCCCCCCAATCCTTTGGTTTCTGTCTCCAGCTTCTTAAGGGATTGTTGTCACTTACTCTTGGAGTAAAAAGGTTGACTCCATAGTTCCTCCATCCAAGCCCACATTTAATTACAGGTAGTCCTTGACTTACAACCATACAACTAATCAAAGACAGAAGCAACCTAGAACTAAGGAGAAACTTCCCAACAGTTAGAACAATTAACCAGTGGAACAACCTGCCTCCAGAAGCGGTGAATGCTCCAACACTGGAAGTTTTTAAGAAGAGACTGGACAGCCATTTGTCCGAAATGGTATGGGGTTTCCTGCCTGAGCAGGGGGTTGGACTAGAGGACCTCTAGGGTCCCTTCCAACTTTATTATTATTATTATTATAACAACGGGCGAACATATTTAGTGACTATTCAAAGTTACAGTGGTGCTGAAAAAGGTGACTTATAACCAGTTTTCATACTTACGACCGTTGCAGCATCCCCGTGGTCACGCGATCAGAATTCAGAGGTTTGGCAACTGGCATGGACTTAGGACAGTTGCACAGTCCTGGGGTCACGTGATCCCCTTTTGCGACCTTCCCACCTGGCTTCCCTCAAGCCAAGTCAATGGAGGAAGCCAGATTCGCTTAATAGCGGTGGCAAACATGTTATAAAATGGGGCACAAATCACTTAACAGCTGCTTAGCCACGGAAACTTTGGGCTCAGCGGTGGACGTAAGCTGAGGACTATTTCTATTGAGTTTTACAGGTAGTCCTCGACTTACCACTGGTTGAAGTTATGACAGCACCCAAAAAAGGGGAGGAATTCTGGGAGTTGAAGTCCACAAGTTGCCACGGTTGAGGACCCCTGCTATATCACATCCCTCCGCTCCACAGAGGCTGAAATATTTGGCGTTTTTCAAGAGCCCTACCCACACAAGCCTCATTTTGTTCTTTTCAGACAAAGAAGTTCTCTTTCCTAACAGCTGGATAACTCAGGTGAGTATCTGACAGGTAAGAACAGCGGATCCACTTGTATTACCACTCCGCTACCTAGGACAGGGTTTAGGGTTATGGCATTGATTTTTTCCCCTCTGCCCTTTGGAGCATTCCAAAACTCCAATTACAGCAATAAAAACAGAGGTTGACTCGCAACACAATTCATACCATTAGGAAAAAAAGAGAAAAATTTAAAATCAATCTCTACAATAAATGGAAGAATTGGAAGCTCGGCATGGGATCCGATTGATTTGGTGAGAGAGGGACGGACGCTGTTCACAATGAGCTGCCGATTGGTCCAGCTTTCATTCTTGAGCACCAGGCAATTCAAATAAGCCTTGTGCTGCACAGGGTTATTTGGCGCATAGCCGCACACATAAAATCCTGCTAAATAGCATCTCAACGGAGGAGATGACACACAGCTAACAGTGAGGACAATTAACCAGTGGAACAGAAACTGCCTTCTGAAGTTGTGGGGGCTTCATCCCTAAAGGTCTTGAAGAAGAGACTGGACAGCCACTTGTCTGTGCATTTGGTTCTTCTTGCCTAAATGGAGAACCTTGTTTTTTTCACCATTGTATTTCATTTTGTTAGATAGAGCCCAGTGTTCAGGTCTGTTCAGATCCTCCTGTATCCTAAGCCTGTCTTCTGGAGGGTTGGCTATTCCTGCCAGCTTGGTGTTGTCTGCAAATTTGATGAGTTCCCCATCATTCTGAGAAGAAGAGAAGAAAAGAGAAAAGAAGAAAAGAGAAGAAAAGAAAAGAGAAGAGAAGAAAAGAAAAGAAAAGAAAAGAGAAGAAAAGAGAAGAAAAGAAAAGAGAAGAGAAGGAGAGGAATAGGAGTAGAAATAGGAGTAGGAATAGGAGTAGGAGTAGGAGTAAGAGTAGGAGTATAGGGATAGGAATAGGACAGAATTACAGAATGGGAATGGAATGGAACGGAATGGAACAGAACAGAATAACAGAGTTGAAAGAGACCTTGTAAGTCATCTATAGAATGGGGATGCTCCAAGGCTTGTAAGTGTGAAAACTGTCATAAGAGACTTTTCCCAGTGCTGTTGTAACTCAAAATGGTCACTAAATGAAATGTTGTAAGTCAAGGACTCCCTGTACTTTGATAGCTGAAGATGCAAATGGACTGCAAGGCAGAATAGAATAGAATAGAAAATGAAGAATAGAATAGAATAGAATAGAATAGAATAGAAAATGAAGAATAGAATAGAATAGAATAGAATAGAATAGAAAATGAAGAATAGAATAGAATAGAATAGAAAATGAAGAATAGAATAGAATAGAACAGAATAGAACAGAATAGAAAATGAAGAATAGAATAGAATAGAATAGAATAGAAAATGAAGAATAGAATAGAGCAGAATAGAATAGACTAGAACAGAATAGAAAATGAAGAATAGAATAGAATAGAATAGAGTAGAATAGAACAGAATAGAAAATGAAGAATAGAATAGAATAGAATAGAATAGAATAGAATAGAGCAGAATAGAATAGAATAGACTAGAACAGAATAGAAAATGAAGAATAGAATAGAATAGAATAGAGTAGAATAGAACAGAATAGAAAATGAAGAATAGAATAGAATAGAATAGAATAGAATAGAATAGAATAGAATAGAATAGAATAGAATAGAATAGAATAGAATAGAACAGAGCAGGCATGTTAAACTGCTGGCCTGCAAGCCGGATGCATCATATTGAAACTGCGCCCACTCCATTGCCAGCAATGGGGGAAAAGTCACGATATGTTGCGCAATGTCATGTGACATTGTGAGTTTGACATGCCTGG